CTGGGCACTTGTGGGGAGCGCCAGGGCCAGCATGCGTCAATACTGACACCCGCCTGCCCCCACGCCGCCGGGGATCGCACCATGTGCTCCAGCTCTCCTGGCCCCAGGACTTTGTGGCTGCAGGAGTAAAATTCCCCACTGGGACACGTAGCCCCACAGGCAGGGGCAGTAGCCAGGGTTTGACCGGGGTTGGCCACCCTACACTGCTTGCTCATGCCTTTGGCTTGCTTCTCTCTGCTACGGGCTCCCCATCAGCAAAAAACTGTGTGAGCTTAAAGCTAAATAGCCAACAAATAACCCATTTCAGCAGTGGCAGCCAGCCCCTGCCTTGTCCGGGACCTGGAGGGGCTGCTGAAGTCGGTGCTTTCGAACCTGTGCCTTCTCCGGCTGCTGTGGGACCAGGGACGAAACCTGCATCATCTTGAGTCTTTCTGAAAGCATCCTCATCTCTTGGGATGGGGCAAGTACGTAAAGACAGCATGGTTGGCCCATGGTGGTGGGAGTTACATACCACAAGGATACTTTCTTTTTTTTTTTTTTTTTTTTTTTTTTTTATCCTTCTGTTTAAACCACTGTGTGCTTCTCCAGGTGGTGGATGCTGCTGAGTATCATGGACCCCTTGGCTCTGCTGGAGCTCCGCTGGCTACCAGCCCCTTCGTGCAGACAGGGTGGCCTCATGGGGCTCCATGTTTTGTTGTTTTTTTTTTCCCAGCAGCACCACTGAAACATAAGTTGCCCAACTTCTCCAGAGCCTTCTCACAGCCTGTCTTCGAGCTGTTGTTACAGCAGCAGCCCAAACCAGCCATTATCCCCCTGAGGCTGGGGTGGACCCAAGGGACGTGGCTCTCTGGTGACCAGCGGGTCTTTCTGCTTCGGTGGGACTTGTGATACTGGAGAGACTGCATGGCTTCATGCCAAATATACTTGACAGCAGAGCTGGAGTGTCTCATGCATGAGGCTCTGACTCGACGCACAGAAATCCTGAGCAGGTAGCTGACCTGTTGGTACCCGCTGAGCTCGGGGCCAGGAGGTGACTCTCCATTGCCTCATGGATCAGCCCTTTCAACGTTCGAGCCCTTCTGTGGTGAACTAAGATGCACAGAGCTTTTATTTTTAAATGCACATCTATAAAACTGAGGCCGATGAGGAGCACTGCAATAAACACTGGGTTTTATTGGCATCCAGCTCCCTAGAAGTAGAGATTGAGTTTTGCAGTTTCCAGCATGGGGATGGGGAGGGGGGTTCACCTCTGGGCTTGGGCAAGCCCCTGTGTTCAAAAAGCCTGTAACCAGCCCCTAGCAGTGCCATTACCCTGTTAGCATCCTTGTAGGGGTGACTTTAGGTAGTTATCAGCTTCCCTGAAGATCTTTTATAATAAATAAAGCTGTAAAGTGTGTGTGCTGTGGCGCCACAGAGCAGAAGCAATAAAAGGGGCTGGAGCTGTCATGGGCTGGCTCTGCCTGGGAATTTGCAGCCTGTCCATGGCTGTGGGGTGGTCCAGTCCCACGCACACCGGGCGCGAGGTGTCCGTGGGCCTTCCTGCCAGCAAGCAGCCTCCACGTTCTCCTGGGTGCTTTTATTTTTTCTGTCCCCTTGAAAAGCCTCAGGTTGCAGATATCACACAGCTTCCAGGTGACAAGCAGTTTCCAAGGCAGGTGGAGGCAGAGAAGAGGGGGAAGGAGGTGGTGGTGACGTGGTCCTAGCCCTGAGCACAGCAGAACGCTCCAGGATGGTGTCAGTGGGAGCCTTCACACCCTTCCCACGGCCAGGGGCTGCTGGACGAAGGCACGGCACCGCTGGCCAGGCAGGAAAGGATGTCAAAAGCAAAGAATTCACCCTGAGAGCAGCCGGTTTCATTCCAGTCCAGGCTGAACCATGCTTGCACGACTCAGCAGGGTCCCGGATCCCTCGGAAGCTGTCGCCACGCGGGCGTTCGTTAGCTCTTTCTCACATTGGCCAATGCCCAAAATGACTAAAAGCCGGCACGAAGCCGGAGCGTGAGGGCTGTGGGGGCCTGACGTAAGGGCAGCGGGTGGTGTGGGACGAAGCCAGGGCAGGGGACGGCGGGGGGATGAGTCACCCAAATACGCAGGAAAAGGAAGGAGGCAGCATCAGCTCAAGCCCACGGCAGCAGCCGGACAGGTCTTTGCTTCCGCAGGACACCCATGAGCGATTTTGGGCGAGGAGCGGGATGGTGCCCCGAGGTCACTGGTTGAGGCCAGGGCACAGACAACAGCGGGCAGGACAGCCACGTCGATGCAGGAGAAATATCCACTAGAGGGGACTGTGCGATCGCGTGTGGGAGCGCGCAGCCACCAGCCCCGCCGCAGAGCAGGATCCAACCTCCCTCCAGCCCTCCTGGGCACCCCAGCTCCCAGCACCCTCCACATCCCTCTAGCTGGGCACTGCAGCCGCGGGGGGGACACAGCTTACCTGAGGCCAAGCAGAGCATCGTGCGGTAGGGAGAAAGAAGCCGTGGGTGCAAGGGACATGGCCCCAGCCGCAACTAAGCTCCTGCCCTCGCTCACACCCCTGCACCAACGAGATGGGGCAGAGAACGATACAGGCAAATGCATGAAAACCTGGGGGGTTAAGAAGAGGAATTCGGTGTCCATAGGGTCCATATAACAAACCTCTCTGGAAAAAAAAAAGCAGGCTGCAGGCCCCCCACAACTCCAGGCATCCCCCCTCCTGCTCTTCCTCCTCCATGCTTGGCTCTGCCCCTGCACCCTGCCCCAGGACCCCACAGCTTCCACTGGGCTGAGACTGTCCATCCTGTCCCTGCAAGCCTGAAGTCCCACAGAGATCCAGGGCTGATACTTGGCTTTTTTTGTCCTACTCACCCTGAATTTGGAGCCCATTGTGGGGGGCAGAGTCACGGGTGGTGAGGGCAGGAGGAAGCAGGGCAGTTTCTGGTGGTTTCCTCTCACCCTCCTCTTCCCCAGCACTACAGTACTGTTTTACTTCTGGTAGGATTAACGGGTTATGCTTCTCTGTTTGCACACAAGGACTTAAGTACTGCACTCCCCAGAGAGGAATAAAGCTTCCCTTGCCCCAGCGGTGCTGGGGAGGCCAGATCAGAGCCCACAGCAAGCGGCTGCACCAGCTTTCTCATGTCCTTTGAGGCTCCACAACACATTAAGCCCATCCTCCTGGCAAACATCCTGCAGAATGTTTATTTGTGGCCGTGCTAAGAAGCACGCTTGTGGAACACGTTGTGTTTAGACGTAAGCATGCCACCCTCTCTCTACCTGTCCAGGGCTGAACCTGGGGGCAACGTGTGGCTGGGCTTCACGGCTGCAGAAAACCGTCCAGCTGATGCCGTGCCTGCGCACGCCGCTGTGACCTGCAACTCCGAGCATGAAGCCACCTTGCCTGCCATTCCCACCACCCACCAAAAGTGCCAACAACACCTCACCTGCTCTTTCCTGGAGGCTCCCAGTTCGTGGTCC